GGTCGATTAGACGCATATGAAAACTAGAAATTGCACTGAAACCACCATTTTCGCTGGAATGTACAGACAGAGAACGCTGAAAAGAAGGAACCTTTTACCACAAATGGAATTTTTAACTATGACTTCAAATCACGATGTTGTAAGGATCAGGAGAAAAAAAGCATTATCTGAAAGAGAAAAAAAAAAAAAACTACAAACATTACGTGCGCAGAATAGCGAGAATTAACTGGTGAAATAGGACACTAAAGTTCGTTCAACATCTCACGAACACATTTGCAAGCCATTTTCTCGAAAACTGCCAGTTAGATCGCAAAGATTCTTTGCATACAGCGTTAGAATATCCACGACGCATAAGTGAACTGAACTTTCAGATTTTATAGTAAAATTCTGCATTTCCTGTTTTATTTTTTGTCTTCATAATACATCGATAGATGAAGTAAATTTATTTGGTCATTTATGTTCAATTGAACTGAATTGGTTAAGTCAAGACAGACATCACAGCTCTCGGGGCATTACCATGTGCGCTCCGTCCTTATCTTCAGCAGCCAGCGCAGAGTTTCAGTACTAATGGTACCGTATGCTGTCTGATTATATGTCCATCTTGCCATTCCTCTGAGTGTAGTGTGTCAGTCAGGCCCTCAGGTCACACCAAGGTGTATCATTCTCTCCAAACCATGATAATCAATTTTCTTTTCTTGTTCTCAAAGGGCCTTGACCACATCTGCATTGTCATGTATCAACTCATCACCCAGTGGTGTTGATCCAGCCAATCTATCGGCATTGTTCAATTGTAAACATGTCCCCAGTATGTAACAGAGCATTCCCCTTCAGTCACCATTAGACCCCACGGTGTATCTTATATCTTAACTTCACAGCAGATTGTATTCTGGTTGACAAATTTGAATATGGAGATATGTTTGTTACAATTTTAGATGTACCTAGCAGGTTGTTGATAATCAACCACTCATACCAAAAAAAAAAAAAAAATTGTTTTTATCACTCCGAATCTGACGATCCCAAAAAGTTGATAATTGTTACTGGCTGAACAAATTGTAATCCATCTCGGTGCCAGTACTCGTCTTCCTCTCGGAGCACATGTTCATAACATTTTTTTCCAGAAATGAATGTCTATTTTTGAAAAGGACTTTTTGAAATGTCAATACTGCATTGTGATTTCAATGTTACTTTCAGATTCGGAGAGTAACAACTTGATTTGTCTCTAGCATTTTTAAGATCTCACGTCTAATGACATCTACATCAAAGTCGTCAACTTTCTTTTTCCTTCCTTGCTTGACATGAGTAAACTCTGTATTTTGTCTAATCCAACGGTTAAATGGTGCTCTATCCATACGAGGTGTCAGTCGTGTTCGTTTCTCTGGATCATGAATATCAGTCGTGTTCGTTTCTCTGGATCATGAATATCAGTCGTGTTCGTTTCTCTGGATCATGAATATCAGTCGTGTTCGTATCTCTGGATCATGAATATCAGTCGTGTTCGTTTCTCTGGATCATGAATATCAGTCGTGTTCGTTTCTCTGGATCGTGAATATCAGTCGGGTTCGTTTCTCTGGATCATGAATATCAGTCGTGTTCGTTTCTCTGGATCGTGAATATCAGTCGGGTTCGTTTCTCTGGATCATGAATATCAGTCGTGTTCGTTTCTCTGGATCGTGAATATCAGTCGTGTTCGTTTCTCTGGATCGTGAATATCAGTCGTGTTCGTTTCTCTGGATCATGAATATTACAATATAAACGACCCATCTTAGATTCCGCGAGGAAGTGCTGGTTCAGTAAAACGGTAACCTTCTTTGCATAGTTATACATTTGCATCTCAAACTCATTTTGAAACTGATGTCTATGTCAGCTTTCACAAGCTAGCTATATGACTCAATAACTCAACACTAATTTGTGGAAGCGCCTTTGACTAAACAACCTTGATCGAAGTTTTATTTTGGCGCTAGATCACTAAGAGTGCGACGTTACAAGAGAAAATCAGAAAAATTGCGTAGGTTTCCTTTGATCCACTGTTAAACCAATCATAGTGTGCATTACTTCCTGAAACTAATAAAAGTAAACCTTCCAAACGTCTACCAAAACGGTCTCATGATAAAAATATATATCGTATGGAAGAAAAATCTACATATGTCATTATTCTTTGGTGAAACAAAATGTTCTTAACGTCATAGATATTCTACGGCTGGATGCCTCCCCCACTCAATCCATGGTTTTGGAAAGAAAAAAAAACCTCACAGAATTAGAGAGAACTAAAAATTTTTGACTGTTGATGTTTGTATCGCCACATCTGGGCAGTTCGCTGTTCACTGCGGCCGTCAAAAGGTGAAATGTCTTTTTGTGAGCATGCAGCATTTGGGCAATAAATACGCCGGACATCAAAGACCTCTGGCTGGGTGTGTACAACCAAGTAAATAGTAAAGCCATCGCGGATAACTATTGATAGTAGGGAAAGGGAGGGGTGAACTCATATGGATTGATTTTATAC